AATCTGCAGTTCTAATCTCACCGGCTCAATGTTGATTCAGCCTTCCATCCTTCCAAGGTGGGGGAAATGAGGACCCAGACTGTGGGGGCAATATGCTGACTCTGTAAAGCGCTTAGAGAGGGCTGAAAGCCCTATGAAGCGGTATATAAGTCTAACTGCTATTGCTATTGCTAACGTTATGGATGGTTTGGAGAACCTCCAAATCTCACACCTGGATGGCCCCACCCACTCCACCCCACCCCTCCTAGGAGACTCCACAGGGCCCATTTTGGATGCAATGTAAGTGCAGGGCCCACATGGAGGCTCAGGGAGGGGAAAAAACAGGCTTCCTGGAAGTTTCGGAAGGTCAGAAAAGGGCCTCCTAAGCCGGGGGGGGGGGAAGCATTGTTTGCCCTCCCAGAGGCTCCCAGAGGCAAGCCACTGAAGCCTGGAGAAGGCAAAAACCGTGGTATAGGAGGCTGACTAGGCCACGCCCACCATGGCCGTGGTATAGGAGGCTGACTAGGCCACGCCCACCATGGCCATGCCCACCATGGCCACGCCCACCCAGCAACCAGGCAGAGAACACATTGCTGAAATTTTTGAAGCCCACCCCTAAACATAGGCATCTGTCAGGATAGCACAAGGAGGCAGATGTTTGAACCATCACTAAAGGTTGGCAAAATCGTAACTTCGGTGTTAGTTGGGATAGCTTCACCCATTACCAAAGGAAGAGCTGGACATTCTATAAGATATAAGAGTATCTTCTTTTCCTCCTCCTTCCATGATGAAGTCTGATAAGACTCCACCTTTCATGTCCTTGATCTAAGAGAGTTAATGAAGTGAAACTTGGGTAGAAACTCATGGATAAAGATGGCGATACCAGGCTCACCAAGAGGACCAAGAACTCCAGCACTGAGCTAAATATCTGTTTTTGTTTTACAAGAGAAATAAAAATCTAAGGTGACATTTTAGGATTCTATTTCTGCCCAACGATACCTGAGAAAGCTAATGTATACTTCATAATATATAAATGACAGTGAGTGCTTTTTTTATTCCAGGTAGGTGCATTGGGAAGCCATTAATACATTGTGAAATAAACACTTTCTTTGACACGATAACAACATTTTTGACAGATGAATGTTTGTGATGGAAAATGTAAATTGTGAAGCATCTTTGAGGGGCTACTCAGATGAAAATCAGAAACTTTAAATTACCTGAGGTATTCTATAAAATGAGTGGGTGGGTTACCAGGCAGTGAGCTGAGGTCTGCATATCAATAGATATCGTCTTAGTTATGCACACCGGCAGTAGGCATGGTAATTGCCTGCTTCCTCCTTGCCCCACCCAATTCACATCACCTTAGAAAGACTCATTCCATGTATCACCCACTCACCCACAGCATAATTGTATTCCTTCTGGCTTTCTGCTCAATAGTGGACGTGCAATAGTTTGGTGATTCAGCCAGAGTTATACTGGTATCATCTGAAGTCTGGGCTGCAGGTTGCCCCTCTGTGCTATAAATAATCTCATCAAAGAAGGAGGGATAGAAAATGTTGAAGTTTGAAGGAACAGATGAGGCGTGAGGCAGCTGAGGTAAGTGAACAGCTATTTATTGAGTAACAGCAACAGTTAACTATATACAGAGAGAGTTTAACACCTCGCCCTACTTGACAGCTATTTATAAGGGAGCTGTCAAGCAGGGCGACCAATAGGAGTGCAGCCCATGCTCAGCCAGCCGTGTCCTAGCCAATCAGGCGCGGCCAAGCTGTTGCCGCCTGTCAATCATAAGTCGAGGACTTGTGGCCGGTCGTAAGTCAAGGACTTTAGTTGAGGACTTGGCACGCCTTCCCCCCTAGCGAGGGCGCATGCATGATGGTTGCGCATGCATAATCATTTAACTAGGCGGGCCAGCGTCAGACCTGCCCAGAATGCCTCAGTTGCAGCAGTGGCGTTGATGGGGTAAGAGGTCCCTGTGGTAGCTCCTCCCTGAAGGGAGTGTAGCTGTGGGCAACATCATCCTGGCCTACCCCCAAAGGCAGATCCAGGGGAAAAGGTAGGACAGGGTGAGGGGGCACATCCGACCGAGGCGAACTAGATTGTGGCTGCCAGTAGGTGAAGGCAAGATAGACAAGGCCTGATTGGGCGAAGACCTCATGGTGAGGAGCACCCAGGAGGAGCATTGACGGATGGAGATGGAACTTGGTATGGCTGTCGGAAGGCGGTAGCAGGGTAGGGAAGGACTGACTAGGCGAAGGCCTCATACAGAGCCGCATTTGATGGAGGAATTGCGGGCTGTGGCAAAACTGGGGCCGGCTGCTGGGCAATGGCGGCTGGGCTTGACGGGCTGGATTGAGTGCAGGCCTCAGGTGGAAGGCAGTGCCTCAACTGATCCACATGGCACCGCCACTTGGTGCCATCTGTGAGGGCAATCCTGTAAGAACAGTGACCGATTACTGTAGTAATGGTGGCAGGCACACACTTCGGATCCCCAGTAAAATTCTGAGCCCAAACAAGGTCCCCTTCCCCAAAAGTGTGGGGAGGAGCCCTCACGTTGCTAGGCTGTTGTCCTGAGTAGAGTGGGTACAGTCTGTCCAGGGTGGTTCGCAGGAGCCGGCCAATCAGCAGTTCAGCAGGGCTTTTGTTGGAGCTAGGGCAAGGGGTGGAGTGCTGACCTAGGAGGTAAGCGGTCATCTTTGCCAGCCAATCACCCTGATCCATCCTGCCCAATGCCTCTTTGGCTGAGCGGACGGCTCATTCCGCCCAGCCTTTGCAAACAGCATGGTAAGGGGTGGTAGGTGCGTGGCGGATCCCCTGCATGGCCAGGAACTCCTGAAAGGCCATGGACACAAACTGCAGCCCATTGGTGGACATGACAATATCATCAGACCGTGAGTTGCGAAAAGGCGCTGCAAGACCCACGAGAATACTTGGGAAAGGACAGGATCAGCCCTGGTGTGGGCCGCCACGTCCGAGGCAGTCAGTGAGAGGTCGAGGGAGGCGATGGAAAGCATCAACAAGGATGGCACTGGCTGTGGGTCAGCAATATGGAGGGGGCAGTGGCTGAGGGCATCAGCATGCCCTAGCTGCTTGCCCGGACAGTACTGCAGCATATAAGAATACACTACCAGGAACTCTGTCCAATGGGTCATCCGAGGAGAGAGGATGGGAGGGGTAAGATGATCACTGGCCAGAAGTCCAAGGAGAGGCTTGTGGTCAGTGAAGAGTGTGAAATGCCATCCACACAAGTAGTCATGGAACTTTTTAATCCCGGACACGGCAGCCCAGAGCCTCCTTGTCGATCTGGCTGTAGTTCCTCTCAGCCGGAGACAATGTCTGGGGAAAAAATGCTATGGGGGCCTCAGAGCCATTGGGGAGGACATGGCTCAGAACTGTCCCCAGACCAACAGGGAAGGCGTCACATATCAGCATCAGCGGCAGCTTGTCACTACATTGCACTAAGACAGCCGCTGACATAAGCATAGCTTTGACAGCCACGAACACATGCGCTTCATGGCTGCCACAGCACTAGGCTGTGGATTGGTCAAGCAACCAATGCAGGCTTGGCTAGTGACGCCTTATGAGGTAGGACTGGCACGTTGAAGTTTAAAAGGCCCAGGAACACCTGTAGCTCTACCTTAGAGGCAGCTCTGGGGTGTTCCTGATGGCAGCAACATTGGAGGGCGTAGGGTGGATGCCCTGGGCATCAATCAAGAAACCCAGGAACTCCACCCTTGGCACAGCAAATGAACATGCTGCACTTTAATTTCAAACCCGCACCCCTGAATACTTCGATGACATCTGAGCAGCTGTGAACAGCGATCAGGACATCATCGAAGTAGGGAACCATGCCTGGGAGCCCATTGAATAATCGCTCCATGGGGCTCTGGAAAATCCCCGGGGCAACAGAAATGCTGAATTGAAGGCAGAGGCAACAAATAGACCCACAGTGGGTGACGATGGTCTGGGCCACTGCGGCCTCGTCATCCACCGGAAGCTGCTGGTAGGTCTGTGCCATATACAGTTTGGCAAATATGCAGCCCTGCCCCAAGGAATGGAGCAGGTGCTGCACCACAGATACTGGATAGGGGTTTGCCTAGAGGCTGAGGTTGATGGTCGACTTAAAGTCAGTGCAGATCCTGATAGACCGGAACCTCCCATGGGGGTCTCCCATTTGGAGTGGTAGATGGGTTCCAGGATGTTCTGTG